CTTTTTTATCCCAAAAAACTTTGTCTTCAAAATAAGGGTGCGTCTTATACACCGGTGAGTCTTATATTCCAAAAAATATGGTAATATCAAATTCCTGATAACAGAGCAAACCTTCTCATTCTTATGATAACAGCTGTTTTTCTAACCCTTTTTGATGCAGTTGACAAAGTTCCTAAAAACTAACAAATCTATTTAATCTAATGATTACAGTTTCCTTGTAGTGTTTTCATTATCAGATGAATCCTTAAAAGGGCTTTACTTGTAATTCATCATACAAGGTTACTCATCAACAAACAATAAACCTTCACTACTATAATTAATAATGATACATCCAGGTAAAATCATAAGAGGTTTTCTTTTGTCCATAGATTATTACAAACAAGATTTAAACAAAACATACTGTTAGGTTATAGAAAATCAATCTTTTAAAATACAATTAGTTTTTTAACATAACATTTAACATAAATCAGAGTGGGTTGCTTTTTTAACAATATTAAATGACTATGTCTTATATAAAAGTTTAATAGTTTAACTGTCTCACTATGGACTCAGTCAATTCAACCTTAAAATTTATCCCAAATTGACCTTTAGAGTTTCCATATTATAACTTCTAATATGTTTTGTATGTCTACACGAAATTTCACAATCTTTCAGTAAGCATTAAGTCATTTTCAGACAAAAAAAAATCATAATTTTGAATAAAGTATTATCACTAAAAATTTCTCTGTGAATATATGGAGTCAAAGTGTTGACTTCACCGAGTACAAAATGATTTTCATGTTAAGATTAAAAATACTTTTCTGCATCTGAAAATCCTCAACTTTCATCTGCATAATCTCTAAAACCTCCTAGATAAATTTCCAATGTTTTTTTTCAGTAAAACTTTATATTTTATCTGTTATTCCTTCTACCCTAACTCTATATGAGGTTGGTCAATTTGACCAAACTCATAACCACTATAAAAAATAGGAAATCAATCTAAATTACCCCTTTTTTTTTCCAGAATGACTTTAAATTGCAACATAAACTACATTTGTTTATCCTCCATATATTTAAACTCATAACAGTATACTTCTGTTTATACTTAAATTTTATTGTTTTATTGCCCTTTGGACCATGTCTAACTAATATTCCCAAATATTACAAATTGTAAAGCACTTAGTGAACATGTAGTTTATGTTACTCTATCAAATTACATAAAGCATGGGCTACTCATAAGTGCACCTCCTGAAAAAAAAATTATTATTATTATTATTATTCATTTTAACTAATCTAACTTTATCTAACCTGAAATGTTTCTATTTTTTACATTTTAGTTATCTGTATAATAATAAAGCATACACATGAAAAATAAGAAATATAATATTTATCTGGGTCTTCTTTATTTTTGCTGTCGACTGCTGATGAAACTTAACACTACTTTTTTATACTAATGGTAAAAGTGAACCAAATAATTTTTTTAAACTAAATAATACACCATAGAACACAGAATAATAACATGCAAAAAGCAGACAATATTCTGTAACTATCACAATTTTCTGGCTTTCTAACTGTGTGACATGAGCTGTTAAAAATTTGGCTAAGCTCATCAATGTGTTTCCCTTGGGAATAAACTTTTGACTGGAAGTGAAATAGACAATTCTCTGTGTAGAAAACAAAGTAATATGATTTCATTTGATAGATTACAACTTTGGCTTTCTATTGTTAGTATTAAATGTTAGAGAGAACTACTGGCAATTTCTGAAAGAGAGGATGTGATTGGTGGGTGTAACAAGAGAGGTCTGATTTTCTAGATTTCGGCTCTGTAACCAAATAAGATTGAAGGATATAAAAATTATGCTTTGCTTGAGTGATGAAAACATTATCACGAGCAATTTACATTAAATTTCATATTTCTTCGAGGGGGTGGTAAATAAATTAGAGGAGAGGAGATATCTAGAAACCAAATGTCACAGTTCTCATATTCGGGGAAATTTTTTTAAATATTGCCTTATAAAATTAAAAACTTATATAATATTAAAATTTGATTTATTAGCTACATTTTGATGCCAAATTTATTCATATACCATGATAATAAAGTACTTTAATTAAATTTTTAATGTAACTCAGTAAAACCTAAAGACATATGCAAAAAAGGATATCCATAATGAAACCATTAATACATATTTCAATTAGTAAAACCACAGCATATGTATATTAAAATCAAAATACTTCATTGAATGATAAATTACTGAACAAATGTCTTTCTTTCTGAGGGTTGGCAGTTTCTCCTTCTACCTACTTTTTACCATTAATTGCTTAACTTGTACAACAAACATTTGCTATTTTAGTCAAATGTAACTTATTAGCTGAAGGTTAGCAGTTCTTTCTCCTACCTACCTTTACCATCAATTGCTTAACTTGTACAAGAAACATTCGTCGTTCAGTCAATCCTAACTTATTGTATAGATTTGAGCCACAGGCCAGCAATACTCCCATGTCAGTCACAAACATTGTTCCATCTGAACCACAGAATGCTTTTACGGCAGTTGTATTTTCAGGAAGATGCACCTTCGTTGGTACAGAGCTAAGCATAGAAATAATGGAAATTTAAGTAAATAATTCTAAAATGATAAATTATCTTGTACAAATAGAAAAACTGAATCATGGGCCCTTTTTTTTAAGATGTCCTTGTTTTATTTTCAGAGATGAACCATGAAAAATAACTGACAATCTTGTAAAGGGATTCAGGCTATCTGGTCTTTTTATTTGATATTTATTCACTTGTTTCGTGTGTGATCTTGTAACTTTAAAAACACTGCTAAATATATTGTATACTTAATAGATAAAGAAAACATAGAAGGGAGATCATTTATCACAAATCTCACTTTTACTAAAACACTGTTCTTAGGATATCTGTACTTCTTCATGTTCTAAACAAATAACCTAAAATAACAATAACTAGCATTTGACATACATGCACATGTGTACATTTCACTACATTTTATTAACTTTCTTAACAATGGGATGATACAGGAAAGATAATATCTGATGATTATGGAATTGCTGGGTTATTAAATTATATTTTTATTTCAGTTTTAATAATGAAAATTTAAGCAATATTGCTCACCCTGAACAGTTGCTTAATAGATCAAGAAGATTACATTAACTCTGAACTTGTTTAGATAAAATTGGGAAGTTTAAAGAATAATAAAGTTCCTGGGCCTGATCATATTTATCCATGGGTTTTGAAGGAGGATAAGGATTGGATATATATATATGAGCCACTTGCTACTATTTGTTTTAAGTCCTTAAACAGTGGACAGGTGTCAGAAGATTGGAAGTTGGCTAATGTTACTCCTCTTTTCAACTGAGGTGATAACAAATTGTCCCAGTAATTATAGTCCTGATGAAACTTAGTTGAATGGAAGGCAAAATGCCTGTTGTAGAAATACAAGTGTAGAGGACGATGTTTCAAAAGTCTTCCACCTTTCATCTTCAGGATCTGGAGACGGGAGACTTTCGAAACGTCGCCCTCTACGCTTATGTTTCTACAACAGGCAGTTGCCATCCATTCAACTAAGTTTCATCATTAATACACTACCTAAACAATCTATCAAAGAATTATAGACCTATTAGTCTTACATCAGTTGTGTGAAAACTTTTTTGAAATTCTGATACAAGATGCTTTGCAAAGTCATTTTAAAAAGTTTTAAATTTTGATGGATAGTCAGCATGGTATTACTAAGGGAAAATCTGGCCTTAATAATCTTTTGACATTATTTGACAAGGTGCCATATAAAAGGCTTGTTAAAAAAAGTTATCTCTGTACGTGTGGCATATAGGTTGGCTCAATGGCTAGGTGGAAGAAAGCAGAGAGTTGTTATAAACAGTAGAATTCAGTTAATCTGGATTAATGTCACAAGTGGTGTATCTCAGGGCTCAATTTTAGGACCTCTGTGCTTTTTGATTTACATCTAAGACATAGATGAAGGAATGGTTAATAAATCTGCTGATATCATTAAAGTTGTGTGTGCTGCTGGTTGCAAGGAGGATGCTACTGCTTTACAAAAGGATTGGGATTATTTGGTGAATTGGGGAAATAAATGGCAGATGACTTTTCACAATTTGAATTATGAGTATAATTTTGATGTGAATAACCTTAACAGCATTATGGAAAAGAAAGATCTTGGTGTTCTAGTTCATCAGTCTCTTAAGTCATCCAAGCAATGTGCTGTTAATAGTGGCACGGCAAATAGGATTTTAGGTTGTACTTACATTAATATTGAATACAGTCTAAAGAGATTATAATGTCATTGTATAGGTCATTAGTTAGGCAACATCTGGAGTACTGTGTTCAGTCTTGAGCTATTTAACTTAGGAAAAACATTAAATTGTTGGAAAAGGTTCAGAGAATGGCTACTAGGATGAATACTGGGATGGAAAGGTCATATAAGGATAGATTAAAATCTCTGAAACTGTTTTCTCTTGAAAAAAGAAGAGTTAAAGGGAATTTGACTGAGGTGTTTAAAATTCTTAAGAGAATTAATAGTGTTGATGTATAATTTTTTTTGTATTTAAAGGTGAGAATGGTAAGACTAGGGGACACAAATATAAATTTTGGTAGGGTAGGAATCATCTTCAGCTAAGACAGCTTAATTTTTCTAACAGAGTGGTTGACTTTAAGATATGGTAGGTGTAGTTTATTAAAGGTAGTTTAATGGAAGGCTTGATAAATATTTGAATGTATTATTAGTGTTTACTTTAATCTTGTGGATTGGATGGTGTAGATAGACCAAGAGATCCCTTGTTGTCCTTTAATGTTATGTTATTATAATTAAGACATCACTTTTGATATAACACACCAGCACAAAAAATACCTTACTATAAAATTAATCATGTTTAGAGACTCTTAAAAACATTGTATTTTAGAATATCTTAAAATATTCCATTGATTTTTGAATACCTTAGAAATAAAAATGTATTTTTTTTGTGAATGTTTTAACATGTAAGTATGATAAAAGTATAGCCATTACAAACCACATACCAATCATCTTCATTGCCAGTCCCTAAACGTCCTAAACTTCCACAACCCCAAGCATAAGCTACTGCTCCTCCACTTACCACCACTACATGATGAGGACCACAAGTTACACTCAACACATCAACACTAAAAAAAGACATAACAACTGCTGTAATGTGAAAAATAATAAACCATTCAGTAGCAATACTTTATGCAACTCATTAAAATTAACTATTAGTATTACCGTGTTGATTACAAAATCTAACTACTTAAAGCTAAATCACAAGTTTTATTATCAAGATATAATAAAAAATCAAAAGAAATGGTTTTACAACAATACTATCCTTAAAAATCATTAGTAGTTTAGATTTCATCACACTTTGTTGTATAAACTTGTATAGTGTTCAACAACTAATATGTAATATGAAAATGTATGCACCCAAACATCTATCTATCTTTCTGCATGTCTATCATTCAATGAAACATTGGATTAGATTTTAATCTCATATCTAAAATATTAGCTAGAATATTGTAAGATGCATGAAAACATACTTTAATTTAAAAAAACAATTTCAAGACAAAAACAATTAAAATTTCTTCAGAACTTCACCTCAAAAGTTTCTCTACCAACTTTGGCTTGCTAGAGCTATTCCAGCCTCCGTACCCAAGACATCCTTGACTACCGTCTCCACAAGTCATGACTATACCATTGTCGCTGGAAAACACACTAAAACCTTCACCAGCGCAGACCCTGGAAAACAATATTTTGATAGAAACGATAACTATAACAACCAACCCTGAAAAACAATATTCTGATAGAAATGATAACTACAAAAATCAACCCTGAAAAACAATATTCTGATAGAAATTATAACTATAAAAACTGACCCTAGAAAACAATATTCTGATAGAAATGATAACTATAAAAACCAACCCTGAAAAAACATTATTCTGATAGAAATTATAACTATAAAAACCAATCCTGGAAAACAATATTCTGACAGAAATGATAACTATAAAAATCAACCCTGAAAAACAATATTCTGAAAAAAAAACAGTAACTATAAAACTGACCTTGGAAAACAATATTCTGATAGAAATGATAACTATAAAAACCGATCCTTGAAAACATTATTCAGATAGAAATGATAACTATAGAAATCAACCCTGGAAAACAATATTCTGATAGAAATGATAACTATAAAAACTGATCCTGGAAAACAATATTCAGATAGAAATGATAACTATAAAAACAAATATGCATATCTTAAGACAAAATGATCACTTAAACAATTAAAATATGTTTTTCAGCATATAAATAACAAAAGAAAATTCAGCTCCTGAAAAATAATAATAAAATATTTACTTGTAAGTCGTTAACACATACTTAGGCTAAAAATTCTTACTTAGTAATATTTTTGTCTTTGAGTGCTTCTACACACTTTGGTTTAGCTAACCATGGTTCTAGAGAGCCGTGTCCAAGTTGTCCTTTCTTTCCTTCACCCCAGGTATAAGCCATTAGATCATAAGTTAACCCTATCATGTGAGTTGAACTGACTGCAACCTGTTTATGAAAAAAAAGTTTATTTATTTACTGTACAGAATTGTACTTAAAATGTGAAACAGAAAATTTATATGCAAACCCAAACCTAAGATTGCACTAAGTCACAGTAGAAAAACAAGCAATACATTAAAGTTCTATAGGAATTGTTCTACATCCATAAAGCTCAACATGAAAGTTCTATACAAATGGTTCCATACCCATAAAGCCCCACATTAAAGTTCTATAGAAAAGGTTACACATACTAAAGCCTCACATTCAAATTCTATACAAATGGTTCCATACCCATAAAGCCCCACATTAAAGTTCTATAAAAAGGTTACACATACTAAAGCCTCACATTAAAGTTCTATAGAAAAGGTTACACATACTAAAGCCTCACATTAAAACTCTATAGAAAAGGTTACACATACTAAAGCCTCACATTAAAATTCTATACAAATGGTTCCATACCCATAAAGCCCCACATTAAAGTTCTATAGAAAAGGTTACACATACTAAAACCCCACATTAAAGTTCTATAGAAAAGGTTACACATACTAAAGCCTCACATTAAAGTTCTATAAAAAAGGTTACAAGTACTAAAGCCTCACATTAAAGTTCTATATAAATACAATTAAGTCCTGATAGCCCAGTAGAAGCCTTAAGGAAAGAAAAACTATGGCTTGCTTTTTATCTACACATAATTGGTATTAAACTTACATGGCATATTTAAATGGTTATGAAGCTATTAACAACAACAATTATAATACCTATTTCTATTATTGTTTAAATAAAACTGCTTTCTTACTTCTTTAATCCTGCTTCTTGGTGGTAATGGAACAGGGGAAAGAGATATGTCCAACTCATTTAGTTTTACTCTATAAAGTACAGATCTAATAAAAAAAAAAACACTCAGTTTTCATCAATAAATTCTATCATTACATACATTTAAAATAACCATAATTTATAAGTAACTGTAACTACTGAACTGTGGCATTAAAAATACTAATCAGGAAAGTAATTACACATAACTATCTCTCTCTCTTTCTCTCTGTCTACTTCACCTTGGTTGCCAGCATGACACAATACAGCTTTTAAAATTGTTTTATTTCATATAGATCTTTAGGCTTAAGCTAAGTCTTTCTATTAGTTTCTTGTTAAAGAATTAATAATAATTTGTAAACTGTACTTCAGCTTTAAAGACTCCTAAACCCAGATTCTAAAAGTTTATGCAATGATCTAAGCTTAAAATCTTAACTATTCTGGTTCATTATTAGCAATGAATAAAAACATTAAGTTTCTGTTAAGTTCATTAACTCAGTTATTCTAAGAAGTTATGATCAAAAGTAAAGGAGAATGTATAACATCCATAGTGTTGATGAGACCTCTTCCTCAATATCAGGGATCATCAGGCCAGCTGGGATACAACAAACACAGCAGTGGCTGAGACACTATTTATATTATCAGTTTGAAAGATCAATAACTGTTATGGCATCAACTAGCTTTTAAAATGGTAAGTACAGTTTTTGTCAATTTTATTTAACTCATTTATAAATTAGTGCAAGAATTAGTATTTATTACCGCTAATACCAATGATTTATTACTAGTATTTGTTTTTTACTTTAATTAACTTTTACTCAAAATTCACAAGAACTGGCAAACTAATCTTCTCATTCCCAGAATGGGTCAAATAATCATAGTGTCAACAGGATGAAACTACATTAGTAATTCTAAGGACTTATGATTGAAAGTAAATAATAATATATAATAAAATACCAACCACACCATGTATTACTTTACTAAACAAATAAACCATAAATAACATGAAAATAAAGCAAGCATTTTTTCATCAACCTACATTAAATACAACATTTAAAAACAATATTTTTTCAGATATGGAAAGAAGTTTGAAATATTTATGAAACATTTTCATTTTACAATTGAATACCTGCACAATCATTACTGCACAATAAATAAAACACACTTGCTTCTCTGATAAAAATGCAAATTTTCTCCTAATGTTTTTGAAACAATGTATGTATGTATGCTTGTATTAATATATAGATACATACACACAAAGAGAGAGAGAGAGAGATAAATATCCAGTTTACTTTAATAACATCTAACAAAGAAAAGTTAAACAATTAGAAAAGTAGAAAAATAATTTAGAAAACATTATGAACATCCAATCTACATTATTTAAATAATATTCTCAGTGAGAATGTTAAATAATTCAAATAACTGAAGAAAGACCTTTAGAAAGTAATTATCATTATTATAAAAATACAGTATATATATATATATATGAATAATTTTTTCAGAGAACAAGTTAAATAATTAAGACAGTTGAAGAAAAAAACGTTTCTCACCTAAGGTTCCTGAGTGGGCTGAAATAAAAACATTTCATAAAATCATGATAAAACATGACACGTTAAATAAACAAATGCCATATAAGCAGTAGTTTTAAATCTTAACTTTAAAAAAAATGTGTCATATAATCAGTAGTTTTAAATCTTAACTTTAAAAAGTGTGTCATATAATCAGTAGTTTTAAATCTTAACTTTAAAAAAATGTGTCATATAATCAGTAGTTTTAAATCTTAACTTAAAAAAATGTGTCATATAATCAGTAGTTTTTAAATCCTAACTTATAACTTTTTAAAACTTTTCATAAAAATCAGTAATTTTAAATCTTGTAACTTTAAAAAAATATGCCATATAATCAATAGTTTTAGATCTTAACTTCTAAAACATGTAACAGCTTGGTGTTAAATGCACATGTATTACAGTTATATTTCTCAGGGAACTACAACATAGATGGATATAATTGTTTAATATCCAGAGGTTTAAACCTTTTAGATACTATAGGTAGTTAAATATAAATATCGCTAACAAAGAGTTTTTCTTCTATCATTACTTTAAAATATTTTTAATTGATTTGTATACCCTTGTAAAGTGAGTTATGATGTTCCATACCTGTCACTCCACAGCAGTCTCTCTTTTATGGGTAAAAACGTGTTGAGGAATAAAAGTTAACATTTTCCTAAATTGAAAAATGTATTTCCAATAATGCTTAACTCCTCTCACACTTAAAGCTATTACTCAACTTCCAGGGTTTTGTCTTTTGCCCATCTAAGCATTTTCTCGCTTGCTCCAGTTTTTTATACCCCACTCAACTGTCCTTGACGATATTTATCTTGTGATACTCTCCATCTACGTCAATGCGCCTTCTATCCTGATAATGTATATAAGCACCTCATTCAGATAATGTTATCACTTTTTTGAGACTGACTCTATCTCAGTCTCTAACACCAGCTCCTAGTGAGGAGGAAGGATGGGAGAGTGTCAGCAGAGGTAAGAATTATTGGAAATACATTTTCTATTTAAGAAAATGTGAACTTCTAAAACATACATACCTCTTCTCCCACTTATAGTTAGAATCCCACATTGAGAAGGTGAAGGGGTCAGTGACGGCATTATCCATACAGAAAGCGTCTGCATAGATCATGGGTGTGTCAACAGAAGATTAGCACCCTAGTGGGGGAACCACACTACATCCAGAACATGTATGCTCTTCATCCTGAACTTAATTCCTGTATTGTGGGTGGAAATGTACATGAGTGATCATCACTATGGGCCAGCCCTAACTAAATAGTTGAGGTTCCACTACTCGGGGTTAGAATTAAGGGGTCTTGGTCCCTATATCCCACATTGGTAGCTAGGGCAATTGGATCACAACATTATATATATATATACTTATGAGTGGATCCCAATCTGTAGCCACAGAGTGATGCGTTCCAAGCTACCAGAATCATGATGAGAAAGTAAGCAACACAGAAGTGGACAAAACCTTCTCTTCCACCTGAAGAAGCCCAAAAAGCAACATCCCAAGCTCGGGATGATGGGATTGTGTATGCCTTACTCAATAAAAGGAAAAAAGAATTAATCCGGTCTGGAATCATGAATATTCATCCTCACTACCCAACCGTGTGGGTAAGGTACATTCCACTTGACCCCAAAATTGGCAATCCGACCCAGCAGCGGAACCCTTGGATATAGATAGCATCTAATCCAGGCACCAAGATACCAAGGGCTGATGTCAGGAGTCAGGAATAGGGGCAAAACTATGACTCTCTGTAGGATCCAATGAAATTCGAGCCTCCAGTAACAACAGGGAGGAATTTAAAAGCCCAAAAATGAACCAACGTGTCTGCTAACAATGGATCCAGCCCATCATCAATGAAATTGGTGATCCTGAGAGGCTTCCAACAAAGTGAAGTGAAAGAAAAACACAACAATGAATTTTAGAGTTGGAAATCCATATACTTACCCTGTCCTTGCAGGGAACATTGATCTATTTAGGTTAACTACAAACTCTGCTTTAGAACCCCGAAATTCGTTGTCAGATGTAATATTTCAGAGTCGGATAGGGCATAATTGTCTCTTCACATAACTGAGAAGTAAGCCTTCCAGCATGAACCACAATATCCATGGATGGATAGAAAACTAAAAGTTCGCTTACAGAACTTTCAGCCATCAAATAAAGTGCTAGATAACATGGATAATATTCAAACTATCGTAACACTGGGAAACCTATTAGTGATGTTTTGTCAAGAAAAAGTGATAACATTATCTGAATGAGATGCTTATATACAGTACCACAACAGAGGGCATATTGACATAGGTGGAGAATATCAAGAGATAAATATCGACACAGGAAATTGAGTGGGGTATAAAAGACTGGAACAAGAAAAACAATTTCAGACCAATGATTAGATGGGCAAAGGAAGAAACCCTAGTGGTCAATTATTAGCTATAAGTGGGAGAAGAGGTATGTATGTTCTGGAATCAAAGCTATCTTGAAATCAAACTATCCACATGCATCTCTGTTTGTAGCTTTAAAATCAATGTTAAAATATAAACACACTTGTAGTACATCCACAAGCAGAGATAACTCACATATAATATCACCACACACTTGTAGTACATCCACAAGCAGAGAAACAGCTCACATAAAATATCCCCACACTTGTAGTACATCCACAAGCACAAAAATAGATCACATATATATATATATATATATATATCACCATACACGTGTAGTACATCCACAAGCAGAGTTAGTTCATATAGAATATCACCACATACTTGTAGCCCATCCACAAACAGATATCTCACTTAGAATATCATCACACACTTGTAGTACATTCACAAACAAATAACTCACATAGAATGTCAACACATAAAAAGTGTTAATATTTACAGAGCATCACCACACACTTATAGTACACCCATAAGCAGAGATAACTCACATAGATTATCACCACACACTTGTAGTACATCCACAAGCAGAGATAACTCACATAGATTATCACCACACACTTGTAGTACATCCACAAGCACAGAGACTGCTCACATAGATATATCACTACACACTTGTAGTACATCCACAAACAGATAACTCCCACAGAATATCACCATATACTTGTAGTAATCCACAAACAGATAACTCACACAGAATATCAACACACACTTGTAGTAATCCACAAACAGATAACTCACACAGAATATCACCACACACTTGTAACACATCCACAAACAGAAAACTCACATAGAATATCACTACACACTTGTAACACATCCACAGACAGATAGCTCACATAGATTATCATTACATACTTGTAGTATTTTCACAAACAAATAACTCGCATACAATATCACCAAACACTTGTAGTACATCAACAAGCAGAGATTACTCGCATACAATATCACCACACACTTGTAGTACAAGCAGAGATACCTCACACAGAATATCATTACACACTTGTAGTACATCAACAAACAAATAACTCACCTAGAATATCAACACACACTTGTAGTACATCCACAAGCAGAGGTAACTCACATAGAATATCATTACACACTTGTAGTACATCAACAAACAAATAACTCACCTAGAATATCAACACACACACTTGTAGTACATCCACAAGCAGAGGTAACTCACATAGAATATCATTACACTTGTAGTACATACACAAACAGATAACTCGTATAGAATATAAACACAAAAAGTTCTAATACTTACAGAATATGAACCCACAGTTTTAGTACATCCACAAGCAGAGGTAACTCACATAGAATATCATTACACTTGTAGTACATCCACAAACAGATAACTCATATAGAATATAAACACAAAAAGTTCTAATACTTACAGAACATGAACCCACAGTTTTAGTACATCCACAAGCAGAGGTAACTCACATAGAATATCATTACACTTGTAGTACATCTACAAGCAGATATAACTCACATAGAATATCATTACACTTGTAGTACATCCACAAACAGATAACTCATATAGAATATAAACACAAAAAGTGCTAATACTTACAAAACATGAACACACACTTTTAGTACATCCACAAGCAGAGATAACTGACATAGAATATCACCATACACTTGTAGTACATCTACAAGCAGATATAACTCATACAGAATATCAATGCATAAAAGTGCAATAATACTTATCAGGGCCATAGAATGTGGTAAGGCCAGTTAGGCCATGGCCTGACCACACTTTGTATAACTACAACTTGTGTATTTAAACTTGCTTCTTCTAATTCAGTACATTACATTGTGTGTAAGAAATATTTGTAGTTAAAATACCTCAAGATTCAGTTTCATAGCATTAAATTTTCAAAATTTTTCTGGGGAGCATACCCCCAAAACCCTCTAGAAATGGCATTCTTTGCACACATTGTGTATTATATTGTTTAGCTGTGGCAATAGCCTGACCACTCCAAAATTTCTTCCTACCACAATGCTTACAGAATATCAATCCACACTTGTAGTACATCCACAAGTAGAGAAATAACTCACATAGAATATCAACACATAAGTGTACTAATACTTATAGAACATCAGTACACACTTGTAGTACATCCACAAGTAGAGAAATAACTCACATAGAATATCAACACATAAGTGTACTAATACTTATAGAACATCAGTACACACTTGTAGTACATCCACAAGTAGAGATATAACTCACACAGAATATCAACTCATAAGTGTACTAATACTTATAGAACATCAGTACACACTTGTAGTCCATCCACTAATAGAGATATAACTCACACAGAGTGTCAACACATAAGTGTACTAATATTAATAGAACATCAGTGCACACTTGTAGTCCATCCACTAATAGAGATATAACTCACATAGAGTGTCAACACATAAGTGTACTAATACTTATAGAACATCAGTACACACTTGTAGTCCATCCACTAATAGAGATATAACTCACATAGTGTCAACACATAATTGTACTAATACTAATAGAACATCAGTACACACTTGTAGTCCATCCACTAATAGAGATATAACTCACATAGAGTGTCAACACATAAGTGTACTAATACTAATAGAACATCAGTGCACACCTGTAGTCCATCCACTAATAGAGATATAACTCACACAGAGTGTCAACACATAAGTGTACTAATACTTATAGAACATCAGTACACACTTGTAGTCCATCCACTAAAAGAGATATAACTCACATAGAGTGTCAACACATAAGTGTACTAATACTTATAGAACATCAGTGCACACTTATAGTCTATCCACTAACAGAGATATAACTCACACAGAGTGTCAACACATAAGTGTACTAATACTTATAGAACATCAGTACACACTTGTAGTCCATACACTAGCAGAGATAAAACTCACATAGAATGCTTACAGAATATCAACACACACTTGTAGTCTATCCACTAACAGAGATATAACTCACACAGAATATCAACACACACTTGTAGTCTATCCACTAATAGAGATATAACTCACACAGAATATCAACACATAAGTGTACTAATACTAATAGAACATCAGTACACACTTGTAGTACATCCACTAACAGAGATATAACTCACATAGAGTGTCAACACATAAATGTACTAATACTTATAGAACATCAGTACACACTTGTAGTCCATCCACTAGTAGAGATATAACTCACACAGAGTGTCAACACATAAGTGTACTAATACTAATAGAACATCAGTACACACTTGTAGTCCATCCACTAATTGAGATATAACTCACATAGAGTGTCAACACATAAGTGTACTAATACTTATAGAACATCAGTACACACTTATAGTCCATCCACTAATAGAGATATAACTCAAACAGAGTGTCAACTCATAAGTGTACCAATACTTATAGAACATCAGTACACACTTATAGTCTATCCACTAACAGAGATATAACTCACACAGAGTGTCAACACATAAGTGTACTAATACTTATAGAACATCAGTACACACTTATAGTCCATCCACTAGCAGAGATATAACTCACACAGAGTGTCAACACATAAGTGTACTAATACTTATAGAACATCAGTGCACACTTGTAGTCCATCCACTAGCAGAGATATAACTCACATAGAGTGTCAACACATAAGTGTACTAATACTTATAGAACATCAGTACACACTTGTAGTCCATCCACTAATAGAGATACAACTCACACAGAGTGTCAACACATAAGTGTACTAATACTTATAGAACATCAGTACACACTTGTAGTCCATCCACTAGCATTGATATGAATCACATAGAGTATCAACATATAAGTGTTCTAATATTCATAGAGAATATCAATATACATAATGTATTCACTCACAAAGAGAAAATAAAACACATACAGAATATCTACATACACACACATACACTTGTTAAAATACAAGTCCAACAATGTTCATACTTGTGCATGTTGGTTTGTCTTTGATTCTCAACAATCACTTCAGTATCTTCTTCAGCTTCATCTTTTGTTGGTTCAAACTGCTTGTTCAACTAAAACAATATATTTATACATTAAAAAGTCTTGAAAAATTAAAAAATGTTCTTATAGCACCCATAACATAAATCTTTTAAAACAGTTAAGAAAATATTTATACATATTCAGGGTATAAGTCAGGTAAAGGAAAGACAAAGAAATAAAAAAGTCATTCTCAAATATGACTGTAGAAGTTTTAATTGTTTGATAAATATAATTATATATTCACCAATGCGACGTCAAATTTTGATAGAATGCAACATCTAATGTGCTGAATTGTAAGTTTCTCAATAATATTATATAGAATATTAAACAACCATTTGAAGCAAACTCAAACTACACATATTTTCACTTATTGTATTCCACAAAACAATCTTCTACTACCATATAAATGAACCAGCAATTGTTGTTTTAAAGCATTGCTTTAGGCATATTTCTCAAGCTACAAATATACAATTTGATCTTTAGAAAGAAGAGCAAGAACATGATAAAAACCAACAAAAAGTGGAGTCTCCTAAAAATCTGAATTAGGGTACAAACAATACTAACCTGCCCAACTAAGGACCTGGTCATTATAGTGTTAAATTTTATCTAAAGTGCCAAATATTATCAAGTTATATGTCCAATGGGAACACATATGTATTTCCATTTACTTTTCACTCAGTCCTTTGCATCATTAATGTGTTATTATTTCTCAAGGAAAATGTAAACAGATTTGAGTGCTACCAAACTGCCTGATTGAACTTGAACTTATTAGAAAACTGTTCTTTATCTAAATATATTTATTTATTCAGAAAGCTTTAATGATAGATGCATTAATCTTTGGATCAAAATAAAATACTTTCAAAGAAATTAGTGCAATACTCAGTCAGTATCCAACACCAATAATAAATATTTGTCTTGGATAGTTTGGGTGTCTAAAACTAAAGAATTCAGTGTTTTTCTAATCGTAGGTAACAGAGTTTACAGCTTTAATTACAAAATATTCCACTAAAATGCCATCTGGAAAAAATGTCTTCAGACCTTGAGAATAAGTTGAAAATAACTAAACAAAATAATGCTAAGTAATGAACATGAAATGTTTCCACATTAAAGAAAACTAAACACTGAAGTAAAGAAACAGGTTATGTTGTATAAAAGTTCAGATATATTATTAAACATTTATGCATTATACAGCTTAGTCAAAGACAGTAAGGATCTGTTTACAAGTTCAGAGACACTACCCACCTGTTTACACATTCAGAAACAGTACCTATCTGTTTACAAGATCAAAGACAGTAAGCATCTGTTTACAAGTTCAGAGACAGTACCCATCTGTTTACACGTTCCGAGACACTACCCACCTGTTTACACATTCAGAAACAGTACCTATCTGTTTACACATTCAGAAACAGTACCTATCTGTTTACAAGATCAAAGACAGTGCCTCACCTGTTTACTAGTTCAGAGACAGCACCCATCTGTTTACATTTTCAGAGACAGCACCCATCTGTTTACATTTTCAGAGACACTACCCACCTGTTTACACATTCAGAAACAGTACCTATCTGTTTACAAGATCAAAGACAGTGCCCACCTGTTTACTAGTTCAGAGACAGTGCCCACCTGTTTACTAGTTCAGAGACAGCACCCATCTGTTTACATTTTCAG